TTTTGGGAGCAGGTCATCATGTCGAGCAACAAGATGCCAGTCTAATCAAGCACCATTGGGGTTCAGATGGCTGCTTTTTGAGCCGCCAAGCATATCCCTTCCCCAGAAAGCAGAATTAAAAAACATGCTCAGCACAGCTCCGCACGCTGTGGGGAACAGACCACACAAACTGCACACTACACCACACCGGACAGGCACCCTCCACACTGCACCACAACAGACCCAGCTCTGTTTGGTGCGCAGGGAGGTCCTCTGCAGTGCACAGCGGATCCACCACACGACTGTGCGGCTCATGTACTTTGGAGTACAGTTTGCACACTTCTATTTCTCCTTACCGTTTCTTCACTACACCTGTTCATACCCAGCTGTTGGACATGGCCCATAATACAAGGAATTCTGTGATAAGCACCGAGAAATTAACATGACAAATGGTTATTAGTCAGTCATTGTAGCTAGGAGCTTATGAGGGACTGCGGCAGACTGCTGCTGACTGAACACCAGCTGGATGACCAGTGTTCTTCCGTTCATTAGAGTGCCGCCCAGGATCCTCTTTCCTCTGAGTTGGGCTGGCAGCGATGACCACCGTCCACTGCTTCCTCATGCTTCTGCTCTTTGACCCTGAACAGCTGCAGACTACCTGCCACACATAACAAGCTGATCTTACCACTGGAATTCCTCTTCAACGAAGTTTCTTTCACACTGATGTCATCCTGGACCACTAGAATTCATTCGGATCTCCTTTCATCACGATGGCAGTTCCAAGGCGAGATGCGCCACCGAGGGAAACAAATACCTGAAAAAAGCAGCAATAAGTGGCCTCGCCACACCACTCCCCAATCCGAGAAAAACTTTGGGAGTGCTATTGAACAATGAAACTCGTTGCCCCATTTTAGAGTGCTCTTCGCCAGACTGAGCTCTCAAACGCGGCGCTATACACTTTCCTCCAGACTAGCAGTACAACCCATGCTGACATAAGACTCCTGTCAGTCACGGCTCACTCACAATCTCGGCCGAACTGTCGACCTAGCTTTCTGGCAGCTGTCGGACTCACTTTTGGCAACTAAATTCCAGAGCATATGTGGCAAGGCTGGCCATCCCAAAAACACCAATTTTGGGAGTTTTTTCTGAGAAACTATGATACTGTTTTCATGCAAAATAATAAGCATGTGCAACTGTCAAACTCGGCACACTCAAATTTTGCAGGCCAGTGGCAACTGCCCATGGTCAGGAGGCCGAAAGCCCCCATGGCCCCCCACATCACACCACACTCTCAGGAGTGACATTTTCCGATCATCGAGACTGGTGGTTTAAGCCACCCGTGCATTTCCCTGCCATTTTGTTCTGATGCAGCACCTGCAAAATTGTGGGGTGGGCCTACCGCAAGGCTGGCCTCACCAGGCAGTGCCATGCAGGTTCAGCTCAAGGTGAAACTGGCATCGGGAAAAAGTAGCTCAGACAGAGGCCTTGCTGAAAATGTTTTGATGCCTGGTTCAAAAAGCCTCTGGCAGCTAGCCGTCGATAAAATAAATCGGTGGCCGGCGTTGCATTTCAGCCTCCGGGCCCGAGGCAGACGTGAGGCGTGTGCAGGTGGTTCAGTAGTTTCAGTTGATCCACTCATTCTCCATCCTTCTCCAGTGCTTGTGAGCTGAGTGTTCTTTGCCTTACCAGCATATGAATTGGGCAGGAACAACTACACACGGAAAAGCTATCAGGAGAAACAAACAAACTCGGTTTTGCGAGCTGCAACGACCCCCAAAATTGCAGTTTGAGATTGCTGCAATCCTAGTCCTGTCTGTTGGTCTGATTTGCTGAAGATCTACGACCCTGGGTGTGGTTTGCTGTATACCCTGTGTATCCAAGACTCTTATGCAATGTTTGCTATGCACATGAGAAACCCTATTCTCATGTTGCATTTTCTGTGTCCCGAGAGGGGTGGAACAGTTGATAGATATCGCGACAACAGTAGATTGAAATCGGATGCCAGACAAACTTCGTGTGTAGCTCCCCACCAATAGATTGGAGTGCCCAGAAAGCCTGGTAAGGGGATGTTCTTACCACCCCTCCTAACAGGGGGGACTCACATTTCTCAAATAAAAAAAAGAGGGGGGGAGTCACGGACAAGAACAAAAATAGAACGTAGCGGGGATAGGGTGGCATTTCCACCCTTAGAAAGGTCTGGCTTAGAAACGTCAAATAGCCTCCAACAGGGCACTATGCTCCAGGGCCCATATGCAGGTAGATATCAGCTTAGGTTCAGGCGTTGGGTGTTAACTGCGAGCAGCAACTATGTTCCTGTCAAAAGGCAGGATCTTCCAGTAGGACCTAGAGCATCGGTAGAGGCTGAGAGTGCCCGGGTAGAGGTGGTAGAGGACACGAGTCATGAGTATACCATTCTGTTCAGTGGGTAGTACAGGCATTCACCCGGCAGTCATGCTGCTGATCCGCCCCGAGCTCTGGGTTCGAGGAGGAACTGCAGGTGAAGAACTCCATGGCTACGGAGCAGAAGGGAGTAGGCCTATGCTATGGAGGCAAAAAAAGTACCTCAAGCTAGGCCATAACGGCAGGTGGAGAGAGTGTAGACGTGAACGACGAGGAAGGAGGGAACCACCAAGACAGCAACTCACTTTTGGCACTGCATCTGGAAGGCCCCTGTTGGGGTACCCGATGAACATGGACTTCATCTGGGAGTATGGATACGGCAGAATGAAATAGGAGAAGCACAATCGCAGTTGAATTGTCCTTTGCACATCCGTGCTAGGGATGGATGAACCACTAAATGGACAGATAAACCCCTCCGAAGGGGCAACTGTCAATTTCGCGACAGTACTATTGATGACCAACGTCTGACAGCTTTCGATTTGTGAAGTTATTTCTCAACTGTCCATTTCGACAGTAACTGGAGTGACACCTCCACTCATGAACATGTAGAACGGAGTAGTGCAGCGAGGCTCAAGACCAACGAAAGGATAGTGAACACAGGACCCAAAAGACGCCTCACAACTCGAGTGCATCCATTCCACATGCACGGGTAGGTGCATGTGTACGAGTTGTGACATTCGCAAGGCAGGTGTGTGTGTGAGGGGCCAAGAGCGTATGACAACCATCTGATCTGCCCCTGTGCTTCGTCCTCGACAATGGGCAGACGTTGAAGATCGCTTAGCATCCACAGCCTCTGCCCACGCAAGCACATTCCATGTCTTCACGCCAGAAAAAGCATTTCTGACATGAAGCAAGGACAAGATCTGCCAACATCATGCTTTTGTTTTTTCTCCTGAAGTGAACCCTGGCAACAGCCAACCAAAAAGGCGCAGCGTACAAACACATTCGTCTGGCATGCTTTAGCTTGCTTTTGCTACGACACACGGAGACTGTGAATGCACAAGGGCGAGTTATTATGATACTACGGAACACGGAGAGTGTGAATGCATACTAAATGAGAAAAGAGTGCTTGACAACCGTCTGATACGCCTCTTTGTTTCTCAATTTGCTTCTTTGCCAAAATGTTCCCAGCCCTTTGTAGCATCTATATGAGAAAAGAGTGCTTGATAACCGTCTGATACGCCTCTTTGTTTCTCAATTACCTTCTTGCCAAAATGTTCCCAGACCTATGTGGCATCTACAGCCTACACCCCTGCCAGCATGCACCATATGTCCACGGAACTACTGACATTTCCAGTATGATAACTCCGGTGATCGTTTCTGGTTTCGGCATTTCACATATTTCCCGATTTTGTAACCATGCAGACGAGGCGAAAGCTCCTCTACTATCGATAAAGAGGGCTCGGGAGACTAATGAGCAGTATCCCATCGATTTTTCACAGGAACTCAAGAGGCTCAAACCCCTACACCCTGTCCGTTCCTTCTAGAACACGGCAGGAGTCGCCCCGGTACACCCTACCTATGATAGGTTTATGCACCACACTTTCGGATCGACCCTGCAAGGAATCGAAGCGGCAATCTCGGGCTAAACAGCGACGCCTTAACCACTGCAACCCCAACATGCAGACGCCATAACCACTGCAACCGTGACCCGGTGTTCGAAAGTGGAACCCTGCCACTCGTGATATCCTTAACCCCAGCTCTGCATGTTTGCAATATAGACACGCACTCTCTCCACACGCACCCTCCGAGACCCTCGCACAGGATAGAGCCCGCACGTGGCCACCAAGTCCGGATCCTATTTCCCGACCATTCTCGTGCAGAAGCGTGGTTTACGTACCACACTTTTGAATAGAGCCCGCACGTGGCCACCAAGTCCGGATCCTATTTCCCGACCAATTCTCATGCAGAAGCGTGGTTTACGTACACTTTTGGATATAAGAGCATGCACATGGCCACCAAGTCGGGATCCTATTTCCCGACCAATTCTCATGCAGAAGCGTGGTTTACGTACACTTTTGGATAGAAGAGCCCGCACATGGCCACCAAGTCCGGATCCTATTTCCCGACCAATTCTCATGCAGAAGCGTGGTTTACGTACCACACTTCTGGATAGAAGAGCCCGCACGTGGCCACCAAGTCCGGATCCTATTTCCGGACCAATTCTCATGCAGAAGCGTGGTTTACGTACTCTGGGCCACTCACCTTTGTCACTTGAGGTTAACCATTGCGACGGTGAACCTGCCATCTCGGACTAAACAGCCGGATACCTTCACTATACCGGTCGTGATACCCACCCCTGCACCTATGATACATCTACCACCGCTCACCTTCATAAACAGCCGGATGCCTTAACCGTACTGGTCGAAATATCCACCCCTGCACCACGATAGATCTACCACCGCTCACCTTCGTCACTTGAGGACCCCACCCCGCTAACGCGTTTACCTCGCTTCCCATCATTCCCTGCAGGTCATAACGAAGAAGCCGAGCTGGGTACAACAGAATCGGTCGGGCACAAAAAAATATTCCGCTTAGGTTACACCAAACAAAAACACTAACAAACAAATAAACAAACAACCGTTCCCCTTCAAATTTAGACTTCCAGATTTTTGCCTTACCGGTGCCAAAGTGTGTGAGGTAAGTGGCAGCGGATTCCCATTCTCGTCACGAAGAGGTTCCTTCTTCTTGTTCCTCTGAACCATGTCGTCCGCGTTCCCATGATCGGCAGTAATCATGTAGGAGCCACCTACGCTGTCGATTGCGTCCACAAGATCCTGAGTCAAGCGAACCAACGTATGCACACAGAGCAAAACAAGGTATACACATTTTAAATAGATGCAAGCAAAAAACACGCACGCTAGACATACAAGTCTCGACGACGGAAATACGATTCAACATTGCCAGCGTCTCAGTGGGGCACAAAAGAGCTTCGAGAGGCGCCAGGTTCACACCGGGGCACGTGAGCACTCGCGGCTCACACAGGCCGCTGTGGGGCCAAAATGATATGCGAGTGGAATATGTGATAAGACGGCCCCACCCAAGATTAACCCTGACATTCCACAAAACGACTGCAGAAGGTAATGCTTGACCTAAAATTCTCCTCCTAGAAAACAAAAAACTTCACGAAAACAAACAACAAAAATGATTTTCACGAAAACAAACAACAAAAATGATTATACTGTAAACAACTCTGGAATCCCTCAAGCAATGCAGAGTCTTGCCAAAATTCGACTTTTTTGCCTTGGAGATTCTTTTATTATTGTATGTAGTCTGCTGAGCGTGAGGGATTACAACGTGAATATAGCATTTCTCCTACGTCTTATACTCTTCCTATCTACGTACACGGCAACAAGCAAATTGCCATTTCCATGCAAAAGATTTCGTACCCGAACTCGAAGAGTGTTCAACGAAATCCCGGTATTTCCTTCGATATGTTGCAACGGCTTACGTCTAAATCGCCTCCCAGGACTACCTAATTATCACAGAATTTAGAGCATTTGGGAACATAGCTCCACCAAAATTATCAATCCTCGTAGTAGTTAAAATGTTCACAGGAGAGTTTTAACCAAAAATTCTACGTGCCTGCCTTCAACGTAAGCCCAGTTTTACTTCGACATGTCGCGAAGGATTACGTCATAAGTCGCGCCGAGCTATAGTCAGTTTAAATGGACCAACAAGTTCACTGTTGTATCAGTCATCAGAGCTTTGATCACATGTCAGAACGATGTCGGATATGCTCATCGACTGCTTCGCTGCATTTTCACGGAGTCGCATCAACGTCACACACCCGTCTTGACATTGACCGCTTTAGCCGTCCCTAAGTCGTTGATCACATGTCGAAACGGCATCTGATTAACATTACGCACTCCCGTGTACCGACCCTGAGTTGCACGGATCGAGGTAAGGTGTTCATCCGTGTAACTCGTTCGTGTGCCCTCCTCCCGTGCGCTCAAACACAGACGCTCATCACATGCACTCGCGAAACAATAGGTCTGATCATCTACGTATGGCATCCACATACACAAACCCGAGCAGTATGCTCGTCCACTCCCCCGTACAAACAACTCACGCACAAAATGAGTTCACACGCTAGCAGCAACAGAATGGGACAAGAGCACATGAAGGCACTGACAAGGACGGTTGAAGGACAGGCCAGTGAGCGGAGGGCACAGGTGGTGAGTGGGGATTCGATTTCAACCTGATGTGCCTGATGGTTGATTATCCGCACGTGTCAAGAGACATGTTCAAGGGCAAGACCTACAATCTACGTACGAGACGGTGTATCTGAGAGGGCTGGGTCTCACAAACACGTAGACGTGCTACTAGATTGAACGGACCAGTGGCCGTGAGAGCCACACGATATTATCGACGTGTGTTTGGTTTCTTGGCTGTGTCTGTTCAAAAGGTCGAGGGCTATCCGTCTTGATTACGTCCTTAGCCCAAAGCTTCAGGGTGTCGTGAGTTGGTGCTGTCTCTCGCCGAAAGGGTTGAGCTGATGATGCTCTAACAGCGTTCACTTTCCGATCATCAAGTAGAGGCTGGTGATGCGACAAGTATGCTATCATATGCTCTCTGCCTCTGATAAGGTCGTTCGAGTTCCTTTTCAGATGTGTATACTCGGTTGCACAGTCCACATGACGAACTTTCACGATCAAAAAACTGATAGTGGTCGAGCTCTACAGATGTGCGATCACTTGACATTGCCCAAGGCACTTGGTGTTCGAACTCGTTGCAGTTGAGCTTTAATGAAGTCGCCCAACCAAGCCTCATGGGACTGATTTCCAAATTTCAAAATTGTTCCATCTTGTGCCGGATGAAGGTAGGTGACAGGGATGCTGGCTGATGCTGCGAGGCACACGTAAACCAGACCGGAAATGCAGCGATGATGGAGCAGTCTACCGGGTGACGTCATTAAAACTCATAGCACCGTAGACTCTTTTTCGCGTAGTTCACCGAGCGACAGCACGTGCAGAGGCCGTCAGCTCTACGAGAGAAAAAGGAGGCAAATTCGCTCAACAAACCACACACGCGGCACCGCGCGTGCCATCACGCCGACACGGACGCGCGATGGCACAGATCCCAGACGGTGCTTTCAGAGTTCCAGGAAGCGGAGCACGCTGGAAATCAAACCTCACGTGTGTGCTCGAACGCCTTCCATACGGAATTCCGATTCACAATTTATGGTTGGTCTTTTGGCTCACATCTCAACGGCATCTGCATATTGCTCTCTGAGAAGCATCCACCATAACTCTGTCCTCTTTCTTCCTTTTACGCACGCGCTCGCACGGCATCTTTCAGCCTTCATCGTCTCTTTTTTAGTGGTTGCACCAACTCCAACAGAACGCAGGCCCAGCGGACGCTAGCAACTCCCCCACTCACAAGACACCTCTTCGTAGGCATTGAATCATTCACGGCTGCATTTACCCATCGCCCGCAAGCCAGCGGACGGCCGCAAAAAATCAACGCCGCATACAGCGGTCTTTCCCGCCTTAACCTCAGCGCGGTTTTCGACAGCCACACAAATCTAGGTATGCTGTTTGAGATCTCTAGATAAAACCGCATGAGCGCCGTTTACAGCATCTCATCTCTGCGAGGGGTTTCCGCTTCCTCCCCTCCAGAAGAATCCCTCCTTTTTCCTGCAGAAGGGAAAGTCCTGATGCTCGACCACGTACTCGCGAAAGCCAAAATGTCCTGAGGCTGAGGAAGATATCGCTGCAATGCCCCGCAGCGAGAGATCACTAGAGGCCATCACCTTTTTCTTACGCATCACCAGCGTCTGGCCAGGTTAACATGGGAGGAGGACGGTACTGGATGAATTTCGTGCTTACAACATTCCATGCGATACGAATGGAAATGGGTGATTTAAGCCTGAGAAAGGACAACAAAACAACGAGAGAGTTTTCTCTAGTTCTAAATGAAGCCTCACGGCAATTCCAGACGCCCAATTCTTTGAGCTTTCGCCTCCTATGGCTGACCATCAACCGGCTTGAGTGGCGCAGTCCGTCTTCATGAGACTAACTAACGTGGAGATCGGAAGGAGGGACGATTAAGAAGGACAAACAAACAACGCACACGAGGACGAAAAGATAGAAAGTAACATTCACCGACTCAATCAAAAGTTCCCTCATTCATAATCATACGAACCTTTACACACTCGTCGACAACCGAGCAAGCGTCGAGTACGGCATCGAAGACACCCGTGTGGCCCACCATATCCCCATTGGCGAAGTTGATACGAATGTAATCGTGCTTCCCCGACAGTATAGCTGCTTTGGCCGCATCCCGAATCTCCCTGGCTTTCATCAGCGGCTTCTCGTTGAATGGGCACAGGTCGCTTGGGACCTCGAAATACGTTTCGAGCTTATCGTCAAGCTTTCCGGATCGATTACCGTTCCAGAAAAACGTCACGTGGCCAAACTTCTGCGTCTCACTGCAACCGCACAACCCCCAGGGAGCATCGCCCCGCAGGCGCACAAACGACCAAGCACACACGTATTGCAAAAAAGAACACAGGTCAATAGATACAGAGGACCAAGCGGGCAAAGGTCGAAAATGTATCATCCATGAACAGTGCAAGCGTTTCTACTACAAAGGGAAAAAGATAAGGAAAAACAAACACTTTCACTACCGATCAGAAAAACTCGCAAAATCGAAACTTTGACGCTGCACTTCCAGTGGGGTCCTTCACACCTCCACAACAGTACGCAACAGAGACTGCTTGCCGTACAACGATAGATCTCATCATATCTCGTCATATCTCATCCATCCATCCATGACTAAATCCGCGAAAGTTCACCTGCAGTCAATCGAATCGTCATTGCGTTCCAATGTCTAGAAAGATCGAAGGGTAGACTCGGAGCAATATTCCCAAACAGGGCATCGAGAACCAACATCTATACATCCATCGACCACCAAAATGGGTGCGAGATTTGCAAGGACGCAAATGATATACTCTCAAGGGCAGCGAACTTACGCTGAATCCAAACCTACATACGGCAATAGGATCGTTCCATCGGGACAGCTTAACTTCCATACGGCCGCGGAGCTTGCCATGCCAATACCTGTCCGCGTACATGAGGATTACTGCCCTCCATGCCACAAGCAGCTTCTACTTATCAGAACACTACTGCCACCATGTTCGACCTCTCTCATTCGGCCTGCTTTCATTTAGCAACAAGCTTTTCTCTCTCATTCGGCCTGCTTTCATTTAGCAACAAGCTTGGGCAATAACACCCCCACCTTTTCCACCTTTTCCACCTCCATTCGGCCTGCTTTCATTTGGCTCGCACCGAGCAAACACCCACCTTTCCCACCTCCATCCGTCGTCTGGCAACACGCCACTCAGAAACATGCGCATGCGCCCTTCTCGCTTACCATGGTTGCGAGAAGGCTGCTTACATACTAAACCATCCATGGTTGCCGCTCACAATGGAGAACTCGCCCCTCGTAGCCTAAGCAAGCAGCCGCAACACCATCCATGATAGCAAAATAAAGAACACAGTATGAAAATAGAAGCCAACGAACGATTAGGGACAGGTACTCAGGAGGTTCAGCGACAGGAATCGACAGGCACGTAGGCGGCAAAAAGGCAAAACAATAGTTCGACAGCTCTCCCTCACCTGCAGGCGAAAGTCCTGACACCGTTCTTGACAAGGTATACTCCTGATGTCTTTTCAATGACTGGAGGGGTTACGAGGTACCTCGCCGGCAGCTTAAGATCGCCGTCGTATTGCATCATGCCGACGAAGTGGACTTTAGGGTACCTGACCCGGTCGAATTTGTCGAAGTCAGGATACTCGAACGCTTTACTTAACTCCACCACTCGATCGGCGCGGAAGTTGAAAATGACAACGGCATCTCCATCCTGCACAGGACCCACAGCCTCGCCGTCCTCGTCCACGATCACCCAAGGAGGGTAGTACTGGTCATTGACCTTAGGATCCGCCTTCTTCAACTCCACGAGGGCTTCCAAAGCGCTCTGGAACTTGTGAGGAGCTTCGCCCAGCACGTGCGCGTGCCAGCCACGCTCGACAATCTTCCAATCCGCCTGCCCACGCACGTAAAGGGGAGAGAGATTATTGGCATCAACGGGGCACCACACTATCCACGGACAAGGAATCACACCCACCACCTTTACTATCCCCAACAACCGCAAACAAACTGAAGGGGGTCCACAAGAGAAATGAAATGAGAGCCACGTGGAGAGAGGAAGGAGAGAGGGCGCGTGGGGAGACGCGAGGGGAGCCACGTGGAGAGGGAAAGGAGAGCGCGCGCGTGATCATACCATGCCTCGTATACGACCACCTTCAAAACCACAAGGTAGTCCCGAGGGGTAAAATAAACAGGAGCGACGTGGAGGGAACCAAAAAAGAGAGCGCATGGGGTTGGGGGTGACGAGGGGCTTTGAGGGGCGAATCGAGAGTGGCATGCATACCTCGTATCTGTCCATGGTTACATGCATGCGGCCACCGCCGGAGGCTATCCTTGCATCACATCCCTTGGCGCGCAAATCCGCGAGATCCTTCTCAAGCTGCTCGACGAATTGCACAGACGAGCCGTCGGGTACGTCGCGACCGTCCGTGAGAGGATGCACACGAATCTTGTTCGCACCCCTCTCGTGTGCGCCTCTCATGAAAAGATCCAACTGATCGTAGCGGGAGTGAACCCCACCGTCGCTCAGCAACCCGATCAGATGGAGCGTGCCCCCGTTGTCGAAGGCCTCCTTGATATACTCGAAACCGGCATCCGTAAAGATGTTACCATTAGCCAGAGCGGTGTCCACAAGCGCAGCCCTGCCAATCATTCAAGCAATCAAGCAATCAAGCAATCAATCAATCAATCAATCCCACGAGGACGGGTCGATGCAAGCCTCTCCGCTCTATACACCGCAGACAAGGCCACTCGTGCCTCTACTTCCGAACATTGCGGCGAAGCTGCCGATTTGAACTCTGCACCCTTGATTGGGGTGGGAATGTGAGCGGTTCTCGAGGCTGCTGCTTCAGTATGGCTCAGGCGCTTGTAGCCTACACCATTCCCCGGCTATTCTGTTCCGACCTGGTGGCTGTGACATCTGGCTGCCATTCCAGATCTCCAGTTCGACTCCATGCAGCATCACGGACGGATCCAAGGCCGGATTGAACACTTGCCCACTGCATTGGACACTTTTCTAAATGCCGTGATCCCCTCGTGCAAGCAGTGAAAAAGCTCAAGAACCGTACCAAAAGACCACCCGCGTATAGACTTCACTAGCGGAAGCGTCAGCGGATTACCCCCAAGGAGAACACCAGCAGGGAGACCCACACTCTTCTGGATCGTCATGACCACATAAACGGCGGAGAAAGGGAGGGAAGAGAAAATGAAAATGTGGGGAGGAGACGGAAAAGGGGTGATAAAGAAACGACCAAAGAGGAAAAACGGAAAAAAAGTAATAAGAGCAAGCGCAAGACCCGGAAAACGACGGAGAAGGGGTTGATCGTTTTCGCGATCGATGGAGAGACACCCAAAAATCAGATAACGACTAAACGGCCCAGGGAGAAGAAAATCGCATATAGAGATGCCCACGGGATTAGGCGGCACGAGAATGCATTGGGTAGAGAGAACCACCAGTCAGTAGTGGATAAGAAAGAAGCAAGGAAGAAGCAAGGAAGAAGCAAGGAAGAAGCAAGGAACAACGCGAAGCAGAGCGCCATGGATGTCCAGGATAACGTCTCGCCGCTCACCGTAAGACACTAATATAGGACAAGGCTGTCAGATCAAAAGGAGAACCTCATGACACTTACCCTTGGTTGATGACCTTGCCAGCACCCATTGCATTGTGCCCGACTTCGCTGTTCCCCATGTCGGCGTCGCTGGGAAGACCGACAGCAGTCCCGTGCGCCTTGATGGTCCTCCAGCGATCGGGATACCCCGCCTTTAACGATTTCAGGAAGCCTGTTCCCGCCATGTATACGCCATTGTAGTCATCCTCCAAATTCTCTCCCCAGCCGTCCATGATGATGAGCAGGAACGGCTTTCCTCTCTCAATCGCCGAATGCGACTTAAGCGCAAATTCACATTCCGATCCCATCTCGTCTCTTCACTTTCGGAACTTCTCCTGCTAAAAGTCGGAGGCAACTTCGTGTAACACACCCACTCTCCGTGGAATCCACAGGAGATGTACGTGAGACGTGTGGAGAAGGAGAAATCACGATGAGCGAGGCTGGTCAGACAGCAAGGACGGAATCAACAAGCATCGGCGTGCAACTATGGTGATCACGGCGATTCCGTACCACCATAGCCGCTACGCAGCGCTGCTTGCGGATCAGCCACGCTGGCATAGTCGGGCGCCGTCTACGTTCGCACCTACGACACGTTTGGCCATGGAGCAAATAATTATACCAGCTCTTAGGGACGACCGGCACGAGAGGCCGCGGACGGGGGCGGGGGGTTGAGAAGGACAAACCGAGAGACAGGAATGCGAAGGACAAAACCGAGAGACAGGAATCCGAAGGACAAAACCGAGAGAAAGGACCCCGCGACACCACTGTCGAAACCAAGTACGACTGCATCTTGCGCCGAAAGTCGTTGCCATTCACAGTAGGGGATGCATCTTCCCTCTCTCCTCTGCAGGAAAGTGCACTCGACTGCTTTCGTATTGACAGTGGTGTGGCGAGGCCCGAACTCCTAATCGACTCGCCGCCGGGCCAAACAGCCCGTAAGTGCCGCCCGTAAGTGTGTAGCGGGTGAGGGCCACTACGGTAGCAAGACGATGTTTTTTATTTTTATTTTTTTTTATTTTTTTTTTTTCTTGCAAATCATTATACCAAATTATAGTTCGAGGCCGGGGTCCTCACAATTCAACCCGGGGTACTGACAGCATCAGCCAGCTTAGCTCACAGGCTCCAGCCTGCGGAACTCGCAGCTACCAAGTCCCAGATTCAACTACATTGTCAAATACTTCCTAGTCCAGAACCAAACGGTAGAAGTGGCTATGCTGCATCACATCTGCTTCTTCATAGTACACTCTGTAGGCCTCACAAATACTTCCTAGTCCGTTCTTCATGTGAGGCCGGTACGGCCTGACCCTCACCTAGCATCGCCCTGCTGCTCGACCGACCTCATTTTTAAAACTTCAACATGCCTGTTCCTACCTAAGTACTACTTCTGGGACTAAGCCGGCCCAGAGGACAGCGTCCTGGTCCTACAGATACTCTACTAATGGCCCACCGCGGCCCTATTGAACCGAGTATCCTGGTTCATTAGTCTGCTAAGTGTTCCTACCGGCCTGACTAAAGTCTCACTGTGCCATTAACCAATCTGATATCACCAACCCCTTGGTCGGGTGTATTGTTGCCAGTCCGTCGTGGCGAGCCCAGGTGTCAGGTGCGTTGGAACCAGATCCTCTGCTTCCTGCTGCTTTTTCCTGACTTGTTCCTCCTCCTCCAGTCCACTCTGATGGCAGTCTTGATGCCCCCCTTGATTTTCCTTTTAATCTCCGTATCCGACAGTGGGCGTTTTTCAAATCTCGCCCTGTTTCTGTCAGCCCATATGACTTCACAAATTATGCCTCTTGTCACGTGTGCAACATAACCCCACCCAGACCAGCCCTTCATCCCTGTGGGAAGGAAGCCCAACAATATCCAACTCTCATCCCACCTTATCATCTTCTCACCCATTTCTTCCCAGTGCATTTTCCACCACCTCCAGACTCGCTTTGACGCTGGACATTCCCACCATAGATGCCTTGTGGACTCAAAAGGCCAGCGGCATCTGCAGCAACCCAATTCTACTTTCATTCCCCGACTTAACAGCCACACAGCTGATGGTGTGACAAATAAGGACAACAGCCAGAGAATACTCACTTGTTTGCCATTTGGCAGGTCTTTCAGATTTTTCCACATATTGTCAAAATTCTCTTCTGTCAGCGGAAGATTTGTGCCCAGCACCGTTGTCCACCTGGAGACGGCCACCGCGGCCGGTGTTCTCACTGCTTTGTGGGCGAGGTTATACCCCTCTCTTGAGCTGTAGTCTAACAAGGACAGTTGAGACTGCTAGGGGGCAGCTGAACTCGGTCTGTTCCAACTCCAAGCAGTTGGGTCGATCCGTAGTTTTCTAAGTGTGGTCTTGCCTATCCAGATGAAGGACGTCAGAGGGCTCCAGGTTTCCAGTCTTTCCACCACCCGAATTTGAGGCGGGTTGCTCCACCTTCGGAATGTGTCGCTACCCACCAGCCTCAACCTGCCCCCCTGTCCCTCACATTTCCATCTTTCCACTCTTCTGAAACCGCTTGGCAGGACCTCTATCAACTTCCATACTACGTTATCCTCCTCTTGTCCATCTGTGGCGAACCAGGTGCCTGTTGGATCCACGTTCTCCGAGCCCAGAATATCACACCAGTCTTGGGGAATGGCTTCTCTCAGCAGGTTCCAGTTTTCCTCTACACGTCTGAGCCCGTTTAATCGGGACCTGATCTCTGCACACGGTTCCCAGCCTCCCAGCAGGGGGGACCAAATGTCCCGGATTCTAGTAACCCCTCTCCGCATCCATGCGAGTCCGAAAGACCCTGCAGACCCATCTGCAAGAAAAGCAGAACCCTCTTGCGTACGTATTCGGGGGTTCTCGAAGAGGTGTTGAGCCAACACTTCTTCTTTGGTTCACGGGGGTGTAGGGTTATCGGGCGGAAGGTTCCTCCACGCCTTCAAAATCGCTTTCCAGAAGAGTGACCTCGTACGTTTCCTTCTGAAAGAGTCCATGAAAAAGCCAGCCCAGACGTCCTCCGATCTGCTGAAACCCCACTCCCTCATTAGCAGTCTTTCTGCTAGGAGGACCCAATCTTCTTTGGTGTCTGCAACAACGACTTTGCTCACCCAGGATCTCAGTTGAGCTTGGTTCTTCTGTGCCGGGTCCCAAAGACCCAAGCCTCCTTGTGTGCGGGGGAAAGTGAGCAGATCCCACGCCACCTTCGTTATAAAACCTTCCTCCTTCTTTGAGTGCGGCTTCAAGAGGAACCGGGCCACCAATCTGTGCACGGCATTGAGGATGCTTGCTGCAATCTCTTTTACAGTGCAGACGAACTAGAGGATCAAGAAGAGAGCTACATTTGCCACTAGTGCTCTCCCTATCAGAGATAAGTGTCATGCGGTCCCCCACAGGTTCAGTCTGGCTGTGATACGGCTCTGGAGGAGCAAGCCTTGTGAGGAGCTGCTCACTTGGAGGCTAATCAATACTCCTAAAAACCTTTCCTCTTCCCCTTTCTCTATTCTCCTCATTCCCCATTCTACACATAACCTGAACTGGGTTGGCAGCAGACAAGAGGACTTAGACCAATTAACCGAGGCCTCGGATAAGGTGGAGTATTCCTGCATAACCCTTTTCAAGGAAGACATCGTCGGCACAGTGTTCTCACATACTGCCAATAAGTCGTCCGCCAGCGCCTTAATTTTACACTCCGCCATGTCATTCAAACGGATGCCCTTTATTAATCGATGTTTCCTGATGCGGTTTAGCAGGACTTCCATCTGAAGCACGAAGAGAAGGGGGGTCAGGGGGCAACCCTGAAGCAGTGATCTTGTGAGGCTAAAAGGTTGTAAGAGATGACCATTGACCATAACCACTGCGGTGGAAAAGGTGTAGAGTGCTACCACCCACTTGCAAAAGCCTACCCCGAACCCCATATGTCTGAGAGTGGTCATGACGAACGTCCAGCCAACCTTGTCATACGCCTTCTCCAAGTCAAGAAGAAGAACTGTTGTGTCAAGGTTCTCCGCTTGTATTACCTCAAGGACCTTGATGATCGTGGCGATGTTGTTGAAGATGGACCGGCCCTGAACGAAAGCACCTTGATCTTTTTCCACCAGCTCAGGTAGATAACGTCCCAGCCTTCTGGCCAAAGTCTTGGCTAGAATTTTGTATGACACGTTCAACAGGGAGATCGGGCGCCAGTTGCGTACTTCTGCTTTGTCTCCCTTCTTGAATAGGACCGAGATCACGCCGTGAGTCATCCTCTTACCAACCTTCCTCCTGTCAGCACCCCGTTGTACAGTTCCACCAGTGGGGGACCCATCTCTTCCCAACATTTCGCATAGAACTCCACCGTCAGTCCGTCCAATCATGGAAATTTACCCCTCGCCATGACCTTCAGTGTTTGGGTGGTTTCTTCAAGGGTGAGCGGCCTGTCCAAATCCAATTTTGTTGTTGATGGTACTCTCACTTGGGTGTCCTCCCAGAAGTCTGACACTGATGTGAGGTCTGTATCCATTCTATCTTGCGGTTTGCGCGTGGTGAGAATGTCTTCGTAGTACATCTTGGCGTGCTCCAACATTCCGGATGTTGTGGATGCATTTGGCGCTGTTTCGTTGAATGGGTGCTTCAATTCGACCATCTGCTGCGACGAGTGTCGAGGTAAGAGCTTCTGAAACGTTTCCTTGTTCATCTTGTCACTTGTCTCTATACCCTTTGCTTTCAACAGATCAATCCACCGTCTTTCTTTCGCTATTTGTAAGTCTTCCCATTCTGCTAACCTCCTCTCTCTCTCAGCAGCCCACGTCAAGGCCGAGATTGGGTGTTCCTCCATTCTCACCTCCGCTTCCTCTACCCTCCACTTGCACACTGTTTCCTTTTGGTTCCTAGTCTTTGCCATAATCCTGGAGCATACATCAAGTACCCCTGAGATTATGCCAATGCCGCCATCAGTCCAATCTTCTACCGTCCGAAACAGATGCTTGGCTCCCACCCAATCCCTCATGTGTTGTCCTACCCAATCACGAAGACCAAGGTCCTCCAAGATCTGGGAGTTCAGTCTGAAGAAGCCCCTTCCCCGTTCGCTGCTTGTCTGCAGGTAGCAAGAAGATGAGATAGATGAGAGAAGAATATAGCAAAATAATAAAATAAAACAAAAGGTATAATTTGGAAAATACCCCCATAAGTTGAGATATACGCCAAAATGCCCCTGAAAGATGTGGGTAGAGCGGAAAGGAGAGGACCACTACGGTAGGGCCGAAATCTTTGTGTTGTGCCCCAGTCAGGCAAGTGTGCAACTTTGCAATCTGGACCTCCCCGTTTGGGGCTTGGCCTTCTGCAATAGCGCATAGGAAAAGTTGGCAAGTACTGGGGCATTTTGCAAAGTTGGACGGTACCCGGTAGGGGTAAATTGCAAGGATGGGGTCCAACAGATGCTAGGGGTATTTCAAAAAATATTTCTATTGTCAGAGGGGCTTTTAGGGCCATTTTGGCATATATCTCAACTTATGGGGATATTTTGCAAATTATACAAAAACAAAAAAAGGCGCGGGGGTGTATGAGGCCAGAGGCCCACTCACAGTTTCCACAATGGGTCTTGCTCCACTACTCTTGGCTCTATAAAAGTGTAGAGTGCGGCATCGCTCTACTAAGGGTCTCACTCCACTACTCCAGAAACCAGCCATTTCTTGAGACCGCTCCACTTACTCTAGACGTCAGATCTGGAATTCGGGTTCTTGACCTGTCAGTCAGCACTCACAAAAATGGCGAGAATCCATTGTGGCTCCACTACCTCATGAAATGCACTCACGAGAACGCTTTTATTGAGTTGTCAAAACCTCCTCTCCCGTGACACTCTTGACGGTTCAAGAGCGCCCGCCTGCAGCAGCGGGAATTTCAAGGGAGGCATCTAGGACCTGTGAAAGTTGAGCACTTTTTTTAGAGTGCACCTGGAGTCTGGGCGGACAATGCGTGCTGGCCGTATCCTGTAGCTCTCGCAAAGAGCGATCTGACATCCGAGAGGCCTTCTCGAATTCGACCTTCTAGAGTAAGTGGAGCGATTGTCTCTTTTTCAGTCGTTTCTAGAGTCTGACAGCTCTAGACTCACTCTCAAAAATCTTTGAGAGTCTAGTGGAGCGATACCCTAACTCTAGAACATGACCCCCGAAATTGAAACCTAAAGTAGTCAGAATCTACTCTACAAACCATCTGGAGTATGGGCATCGCTGCACTACGCTTGGAACTTAGAAAAGTTCGAGCATCCTTCAAGAGTTGTCAGACTCTTGAAATGCTAGATAGCGCCGTCGTCGTTGCACTTACTATAGATGGCCCCACTCTTGAACACCCGGTAGCATTACCCGACAACACCAATCTGGTTTGTCCTTCCCCCCCCCCAAAAAAAAACTTTGTTTTGTCGACCGAAACTACAGACTGACTCTAAAAAAAAAAGAGTTCGTGAAGGGGTCTCAGCAACCACCCTTGAAAAATAACGTCTTGCAGCTAGGCACTCTAGAAGCTTCAAGCGTTGTCGGCATGAATACCATTAGAAGGGTATTCGCACATATTTCTACACATCGCACAAGTTGCACGTGAAATGGTACATAAGGTAGATATTTACGTTAAGTATTGTGTGGCCCACAACCGATTCCATGTAGTCGGGCAACAAGTGCGCGCAAGATGAGATTAGATAGTGTGTGAACGCATGGGCGATTTTATCGCGTTCTGATTGTCAAATTCCATGATTAATAGGTTTTAATTTTGATTTAAAAATTATGATGAAAACTCAGCTTTAGTTTGACAATGTGTAGGAGTGGGTCATAGGTAAAATTTGATGCTTGCGCGGTAAAGGTGGCAACTTTGGCGGTCGGATGCTCGACCGATAGGCCAAAGCGTAGCCTTGGGGCGTTTAAGTAAGACCATGCGGCAAGCGAGACCCGTTTACATGAGATTCCATTAGTGCTAATATCAGCCTTGGGCATAGCACTATTAGGTATGGTGTCATGTTTCTTTGCAGCAAATTCAATGATCAAGGTCAGCGACTGGCGGCAAAAGAGCAATGGAGCAGCTTGAAGGGAACCGAGGGGTTGAGGGTATAGCGGGGCTATCCTCCTTGTTTTTTTTGTTGACCCCGACCGGAGGTCTGGTTGGTAGGACAAAGGGGACCCCGACGGTCTCTTCTCCTCGCCCTTCTCCGGTTTCTTCATTGCTTCTATTTTCATTTTAAATCCTCATCTTTATATTATTTTTGCCCCGTCGTGGGACTCGGTCCTAATGCTGGCTCCGAGACTGGGCATAAAACCGACATTACTAGCTCAATTGGTACACCCACGAACTGTTGAAACACAGATCCGAATTCGAACTCTCATAAAGGTAGATAAGCGAGATACTAAAGTTATAATTTACCCAGGTCCGATACGGTGTCGGGACAAAAACTTTGACGAGGGTATCTGCCTCGTATTTTAAATGTCGAACAATATCCGGCTTGGTAAAAGATTATCCGGGCGTTACAACTTGATGATATTGGTTATATGTCGGAAATTGATTCAACCCCGACCTATGACTGAGAGACTAAAACTTTTTGAACCATTAGTCCAGATGTTTGTGGCATCTGAACGTAATAGCGACAGTCAACAGTTTATAGCAGTGTCGCAGAGGCATGTGTACGTGGGGATGTTAAAGCTATACTGTTTAGAATCGGAACTGGCTGGGGCATGTAGCCCCTAATTCTTCCAAACAGTGTCCGTTTTAAACAGGCAACCGTTCTGAATCCAAGGTAAGTTTTTTTTTTTTTTTTCCCTTAAATTTTGTTTAGAATTTTTTTTTTAGACTATCATATATTTTTTTCTTCTTAGTTTTTTTTTTATCTATGATTTTCTTTTAGATTTTTACTTTTTTTTTTTTTAGATGTCTCTAAAGTGCCCGTTCGTTTCAAAGAATGGGCTGGAGAATGTGCAAAGTCAGACGAATCTATTGCTATAATATGGAACTATACACTACTATACGTGTGTATGTGTGTGTGTGAGAGAGAGGGAGGGAGAGAGAGAGAACGGGAAGTCACAAATCTGGCGGCTGGCTTCCCTCTACTCTTACCAATAGATGAGCAATGTGTTTACCAACATGTACGTCTTCAAACCTCGCAATTGGCTTAACGCGACTTTCATCGATAGGATGAGCAAAATCAAATGAATCTATTGTTAAAGCATGAAAATATGCACCACCACATTTTATGCCCCCCCCCCCCCTTCTCTGTTGCGCTTTATTGTAGTTGCGCCCATTCATTATGAACGACTTGCAACTATTTGAACGGGTGCTTGAACATGGCACCTGGACCGAACCAGATTCAAGCGCACTAGGGGGTAGAAGACCCTGTGGAGCTTGACTCTAGTTCGACACTGTGAAATGACATAAAGGGGAGAGAGATACTCGTTTCTTTCCCAACGATGAGTTACCTCCTCACACAAAAAAGGAAGAGAAAATAAACGGAAAGGGAAGCAGGCGTGATTGTGCCTAGGTTCAGATGAACAGACTTTCCATGTGAAAACAACAATTACAATACACAACAATCCAAAACAATTGTTCGAAACAGAACCGGAACGTTTCACAAAAAAAATTGGATTCAACCTCCATAAGCTAAAATTTCATAACATCAACAAAACTAGATTTGTCACCAGAAACCTCAACATAAATACAACAAAATTGAATCTACCTCAAGAAGCCAAAAACTTAACATCCTTTCACTAATCAATTGGAATAATAACATATTTCGCCGTTAGAAGCCAAAAATTAAGAGGATTTTTTTTCAAAATGGTCCAAGCATCTTCTCACTGGTGACCAATAATTTTATCTCTTTGAATGATTACCAAATTTCACCAATCGAAGCAAAAAAACAGCAACCTTCATATTTACATCACAATAGATAAACTTGTCGGAAGTTGTTTTGACATAGCCTAAACAAACCTTAGAGAGCAATCATTCATTCAAAAGTTTGAGCCCAAGTTTAATCTCGTTACAACTTCCGAGAGAAACATATAACTCACATAGTTATCATGTCTGACAGGGCATGATCCTGCGGACATGTCAGTACCTTCGACCGTTTCATTAGGTAGTTGAGCGAGGATATATGGGACAGTGCATTATCCCGCTGACATGTCAGTACTTTTGACTGTTTCCTTTTGGTAGCTGCTGTGAGCCTTTTTTCTTTTTTGTGTTGAATGTATGACGGTATCTAGTCTACTTTGTAGGTGTTTTGAGTCGTAGTATTTTTTGAAAGCATGTTAGTCTGTTGCAGGCCTTGGTACCTTGGGATTTTTTTGAACCTGAACCGGTATGACTGTTCCACGGTACGGGGAGCCATGACGGACGGAACATAGAACAGAGTTTTATCATGAGTTGATGCCTTATAAAAAGAATGACCGATGCGTCGTTAGGTCCTTTTTCCGGGTCCAAAGTATAAGAACACCGCGGCATCTCCGGAGATGACTGCGGATTGTTCCCTGCGGAGGTGGGATTGTGGTACGACGTGCAGCTTTGGGTTGATGTTTCGGTGGTCTTCCCCCTGAGGATGACAGCGTGACGGCTGTCGAAACCGGTCTGGGTGCCATACCCGCCGACGTATTTGCAGTTCTTACTTTTACATGTACGGTTTTTGCATTCGTATACCTTTGTGTACTTTGCGGAGATGAGTACGATACTGTGTTTTTCCATAATACTTGTATGATCTTTGCATTCGTATACTTCTGTGTACTTTGCTGAGTTGAGTATGATATTATGTGTTTTTCATATTATCTTTAACAAATCACCGAAGGCCCGTGTGAACCAGTTGGGAAGAGTCTGGCTTGTGTGAGCACGATTCTATGCTGGAGACGAATCGATGTTATACTGGAGACGAATAGATGTGATGTTTACGGCGTTATTTGTTGTTGCTAAGCTTGAGGGGTGTACCTATATGCGCATGCAGCTCTACGACCGCATGAGTGTCGTTATCTTGGAGATGACGAGTTGATACTGGTATGTTGATATCTCATCGGGCGAACCAGAAGTCACGCGCAATGACTCACTTCTGGAGGAGCTGTCCTATTACGCATTGCTTACTGTTTCCGCTGTAAGTATGCTTACTACCGCTTCACCACTGTGGAGCATTTACGCAACCGAAGTACCGTGCGTTGCCTAGCTTGCCATTCCATTGACCTCGGTGGACGACTTTGGCACATCAAGTCTGATTCAAGCACCAGCGCGTGGAGTTTTTCGTATTGACTTGAGTACTGATGTTCGACAGATTGCCGTCTAACTACTGTTTTGTGCTACGCCATCACTTTCCCGCTCACTATGGCGAATTCGGGATCTCGGGATTATGGAGGTTATCGTGACCGGGATCATCATTATGATCGCGACGCGAATGCTGAAGGTGGACGAGCGCTGAGCGGAAGTGATCGACGAGATCGCCATGATGACATTCGACACGATCGAGGTTTTCCTTCTCGAGAACAACCTCGGCATTTCATACCTGTCTGTGACGAATGTGGCGAACCTGGTCATTACAAGAACCAGTATCCAAGGCTAGTGGGCGAAAGTACCTTTCGAAATGTTCCACAACGAGGGCAATCTACGTCGCCAGCGCGCTACGCTAGAAGAGATGAACAGCGATCAACATCCGAGGATCCTACACTGCGGCAACAGTTGGAACAACTTACTAGCTCACTGGCCAATGTAAAAAGTTACATTGATCTTGAGCAATCGTGCAAAGCGGGGAAAGAGCAACAAAAGTTGGAAAAAGAGAAACGGAAGCAAGCCGAGAAGGAACGCCAGCGTAGAGAGGAGGAGGAAAGACAGGCTAAAGAACAACGAACTAAGAAGAAGGAGGAGAGGAAGCGCAAAAAGCTGGAAGCATTAGAGGCTTTGAGGAAGGACATGAGAATGGAGGTTCGAGTGTGCATGGGAAGCGTATGCGAGGAGCTTCATCATCGGGTTCTATCATCCTTGCCACCAGCGAAGGGCAAGTAAAAGGCTCATGAACCTGCTTCATCGGAGGAAGCGGAAGTTGGCTCCGATGATAGCGATGTTGAAGCACTCAGCGCCCAGACGGAGGGACTGGCTATTAGTGAAAAGCGGAAACGTAGTGCTGAACGCACTATTGGCAATAGTCCTCCTATGGTAACACCTGCCAAGCGCCCAACTAAGAGGGGAGAGCTGAATCCGAAGCGTCTCCAGCTCAGCTGTCGGCGAAAACCACTCAAGAGATCGCCTGCGGATAAGAAGACGCCTTTGCGAAGTATCCTGAAGAAGAAGATTCCCGCTGCGCCGGGAGAAATGGGTAAGCTACGTTATGTCACCGACAACCTCCGTGAGTTGGGAAACCTGAACGTCGAGGAATTGAAACTCATCTGCCGTACGGAAGACGTACCCTTCGAGGGTATGAAGAAGATGGATACTATTTTGGCCATCACAGAGAAACGAACACATGTCGCCTATGGGTCGCAGCCGGAAGCGGAGCACGCGGAGGGTGACAATGTTGATGAGCATGTGGAGGAAAGCAGGACCGAAGATGTCCATCAGGAGTACGACGACGATATCGAGGAAGATAACTGAATAACTGAAGATTTATGGAGTGTGTGTAATACTCTTGTCGACTGGCATAAATGTTCGTCATTTGATGTCACTACCGAGAAATTGTATAGGTGTATTGTTATCCTGTTGGCCCTCCACGATCAGATTCGTTGGCTTCAGAAGTGTGTTCTCTCTTGGCTGAGTCTGTATCAACGTTTCGGCTTGGATGCCTTTAACGACGATGCGAGTGGTGTTTATATCCTTACATCACCTATCTGCAAAGCTTAATACGTCGGACAGACTATGCGATGCGGAACATTCGCTGGAAGGAACACGTGGCAATCTGCGCACGTGGACAAAAACAAACTCATCTGTATCGGTGGTGGCGTGTATACGGAGTTGAGTCCTATGTCTTATTACCTGTGGATATGTGCACGGCGTCTGAGCTGCAGATATGAATTACTATATATACGACGTTGGTCACCTGATTTGAACACTAATTGAAAGCGGGTGACTGGGCGTTGTAAGACCCATCAGAGACAAGGCAAGCGTGAGCGCTCGAAGCGGAGGGACTGTGTACCAGTGTCGAAAAGGGTTCTTGCCGTCCAACCAGTGAAAGCCAGGATTACTAGCGGTGATGACTTGGTCCTCGACATCTTCTGTTTGTTTACTGAACAAGCGAATGCAGGATGCTGGAAGTTTTCTGTCGCTCTCGAACTCGGCAACAACTGGTGCGGAGGCTGGAAATCAATTAAGTCAGCCTTTGGAAATTCTGTTGTGAAGATTGGGGCCCTCAGCAGAAGGCTACGAGAATGTCGAGCTGCTTTGGAAGGAGGTGGTGTATTTGAAGTTGAACACTTGGTTATGTGGAAACCGAAGGCAGGACCGGATAAAAAATTGTGCTCCTTGTTTCGTAATCCCCGTCGGGTTGAAGTCCTGACGAAATGTAGTCTCGATGTCCTAATTAGGTTCATGAAATCTGCATATGATTTTCATAAAGCTTCCTCTACTGCTTATCTACGTCGTGTCGTAGCTCGAGTCATCAAGACTAAGTTTGGTTGGAGTATTAACGCGAAGATAGTTGTACGATTGAAGTTTGACGATAAGATAAAACTCGTGGAAGTTCGGAAATTAGTCAATGATAAGATCGAAGTACTAGATATCCCTACCTGTATGAAGGACTTTGCACGTGGTATGGTGAGGATTGTCTGGGTTAAGAACCCGTCGGTCGCTGCCATGTTGCATAATCAACATAGTTTTGCTAAGGCTGATGTGTCAACCTGCAATTGTGCAGGTTTTCCCTACCCTAGAGTAGGAGACCATGTGCTTGTCCGTCTTCAAGATTTGGGTGTCGACCCGATGATCTGCAGCGCAAATAATGTTCCGAAGCTGCGAGTTTCTGACCGAGAGTGTCAGCTGATGCGTGAGATCGAGGCTGGTTTCACCAGTTGGGCCAACTTCAGAGGCCCGGAGACTATGATTCGTAGATCTGATGTTGTTGGCCGTATGATTGGAGGTGATCATAAGGATGAACGCTTCATTAATCCCAAGGATGTTGAGTTGCTGAGAAAGTCACTGAACGGTCTTGTGCTGACGCCACTCGATCGCAATCCAGGGGAAACTCTGGTGATGTGTCCGAAACTATATTTCGAAGCAATGATGAGTACTTTTGTCATCTCACCCGGATATACTATCCTCTCTGAGACTGAGGCTTCTATTTATCGGACGATGAAATCCGACGCAAAGGATGGGGGGCTTCAGCAGTTTGTGAAGTGGAACTCGAAGGGGAAGATCGGAGAAGCCTATGTGTTACCAAAGCACAAGGACCTGACGCGATTTCGTCCTATCTGCCCTACTGTTTCTGAGCCAACAGTCCGCACCTGCCGAGCGACAGCCAAAACTCTGAACTATCTGCTAGCTACATTACCTGCAGACTGGCATTTCAATCTGAAGTCTGTAACAACATTGGTACCACGCATCGAGCAATGCAACAAGAAGATTGTGCGACTGTTGGATGATGAAGCGGAAGTGCTAACCATGTCCTATGATATCAAGGACATGTTCAGCAAATTGCCGCACAAGGATATTGTCAAAGCAGTGGATAGGACATTGGACCATCACTTGAAGAAAGGGCGACATTGCATTCGTGTAAATACCAGAGGTAAGGGTGTAACATTCGAGAGGACGGTAGGTGATAAACATTGGAGAGTCATTTAGCTCAAACACATCAGAAGCTTCGTAACTTGAGAGTTGGAGCATACATACACTCGAGCGACGGGTGTGCTACTGCGCCAAGTTGTGGGTATTCCGATGGGCAAATCTTCAAGCCCACCGTTGGCCTGCATGATGTGCGCGTTCGTCGAATATCAATTCCTGCAGAGTTTGGGTGGATGGAGGAGATATGTTTTTGGTATCAGACTGATGGATGACGTAAGCCTCGTGATTGTTAAGGCTGGGAAACGAACGGTACCAGTGGAGAGAATCCAGCAGGGTTTCGAGGTGTGTTATCCTGACAACCTGACCTTAACGTGGACTGACGAGGGAGATGGGAACTGGCAGTTTCTGGGAACTGACATGAGCGTGGAGTACGTCTACTCGTACTTACGCTGCATTCAATCCTCAAAGAACGAGAAGTCCTTATGGGAGGAGGAGAGTCTGGAATACAAGAACGGCCAGACCTACCACTCGTGGGGAAGCAAAGAGCAAAAGAGTGCGGCTGTTTGTAGTTGCTTGCATAGAATTGACCGGAATACTAACGTCAGATCAGCCATCCCCATGAGGGTGTTGAGCTTGCAGAGGGAGCTGCGTATTAAGGATTTTCCCAGTTCTTTCCTCGAAAGGGTCCTATGACGTTTTGTCAAGGGCAAAGACCACATATGGACCTAAACCTACAACTGGCTGTTCGGCATTGACTAATTCGTTTGTTACTCAGTTTAAATGTTTGTTGCTTAGGCTGTTTGTTTACTATACCATGATTGCTTAGATCAAATGCAATTCTAATTTGCTTTTTAGGTTGATCTTTCCGTATGGATGGTGTGGGGGAGTGGTGCATTATTCCAGTTAGCCCTCGGCGAGGGCATGTTGGGACAGGGCATGATCCTGCGGACATGTCAGTACCTTCGACCGTTTCATTAGGTAGTTGAGCGAGGACATATGGGACAGTGCATTATCCCGCTGACAGGTCAGTACTTTTGAATGTTTCCTTTTGGTAGCTGCCGTGAGTCTTTTTTTTTTTTTGTGTTGAATGTATGACGGTATCTAGTCTACTTTGTAGGTGTTTTGAGTCGTAATATTTTTTGAAAGCATATTAGTCTGTTGCAGGCTTTGGTACCTTGGGATTTTTTTGAACCTGAATCGGTATGACTGTTCCACAGTACGGGGAACCATGACGGACGGAACATAGGACAGAGTTTTATCATGAGTTGATGCCTTATAAAAGTAATGACCGATGCGTCGTTAGGTCCTTTTTCCAGGTTCAACGTATAGGAACACCGCGGCATCTCCGGAGATGACTGCGGATTGTTCCCTGCGGAGGTGGGATTGTGGTACGACGTGCAGTTTTGGGTTGATGTTTCGGTGGTCTTCCTCCTGAGGATGACAGCATGGCGGCTGTCGAAACCGGTCGGGGTGCCATAACCGCCGGCGTATTTGCTGTTCTTACTTTTACGTGTACGGTTTTTGCATTCGTATACCTTTATGTACTTTGCGGAGATGAGTACGATACTGTGTTTTTCCATAATACTTGTATGATTTTTGCATTCGTATACTTCTGTGTACTTTGCTGAGTTGAGTACGATATTGTGTGCTTTTCATATTATCTTTAACAAATCATCAACAAATCATGTCTGATGTGTTTTTTGAACTATTTGTGTCTTGCGTCGAGGAGTGGTGTAATCCTTTTTGCAAGATAGCATCTCGACATCAAAACCCGCTTAAGATTCGAGCCTCACCCCATTCTCTCCGATTCCAGCGTCATGACCACATCATTCCTCTCCCAATAGAGCTAGACATCTTCACCCCACACTACCCAGGTTGGTTAGGCCTCGACCATAGAGGTGAAGTGACCCTGCTTGATACGATACCAGTTATGGGATTGATAGTGGAACAGATGAGCCTAGCTCAATTGGTACACCCATGAATTGTTAAGATACGAATCGAAGTTCGAATTCAGATGCAGTAAGATGGATAGAGTACCAAATTGTGTTGCTTTCGCTGCACCTTTGTAAGATGTTGGGGCTTCGATTCCTCTTCATCATATTCCTCATGCGCAGCCTCCACATCTGGCTCCTTCCCTTCTCCTTGGACCCTGGTCACTACTTTCTTTTGCACCGCATGACCCTTTTCATAGTCTAGCTTTGCGAGCACATCCGTGATAATCCGTTTTACCTCCGGAGTCCCCGCAACGGCTGCATCGCGTTTCTTTCCCTTCCGCCTATGTCGGCAATCCGGAATTGATAGACTTGATCTACATCGTCCTCCTGGCCCAGGTGAGTTTTTCACCCCCCACACCTCGGCTCGTCAATTATGAGACATAGGCCTCAGAGACATTGAAAAACCCAAGAAAATAGCGCCTCGCTTTTCTTCCGATATCCTTGAGATTTTTTTTGCCTTCTTCTTTAATTCCTCGACAAGGGTTCCGACGGTGGTGTTATCATTTTTGTTCATTGCAGCCAGATCAACCATTGTTAATATGTCATCCCCTAACATAAACGTTCTCTGCATGCCATCCTTGAACCTGCCCCAACTTTCATGCGCTGCTGCTATAACCTTACTCACGTCTGCATGAAGACCGTGTCACACGTATTTCAAAATGCGGTTAAATTTTACAGCATTTGCCACACCCACCATTACTTGCTCAACCAACTCCAACCAATCAAAAATCCATTCACCTCTGAACAGAAAGGTGTCAACTTTGGGAATATTGTCTCGCGTCACATCCCACCAGTCCAAAGCCTCGACCAAATCGTAAATTGTCATTTTCACACCATCAGCTATATCTTCTGCCATCTTTGTCTAACTTTTGATTCAACCTTATTGTTAAGAAAACACAACACTCCTTTCAGCATGTCAGTCTGTCATCGTACTGACCTTACTGCCTACTCGTTCATACTACATAATATAACCTTACTAAAAACG